CAGAAGAGATCTGGACGATAAATGGTGAGAATTCAAGCAGTTTACTCTTCTGGTGAGCGTCTTTGCCGTATTCAGCCCTGAAACTTCAGTGGGGCGGTATCCAAAGCAAAGCCGAAAAGGCAGCGATCGAAAATGATGACAGCTGCACGGCTGGGCCGGTGCTGCATTTCACCAACCTCCCCTGCTCCCTCTTTATCCCTCCCCTTTCACGCCTCCTCTTTTGGAAAAAAGAATACAGTGAGTTATCACTACGAATCTTAGATCTTGTTGAACAATTAATTCAATATGAAGTCAATCTTTTTTGATTCTTCTTGCAGCCTTCCAGAAATTAAGCAAAAAATTACAAATATTCAACAAATTTCCAGGTCACTTTCTCCCACAGAACTAAGAAGCAGTTTCATGAACTGCTAGTACCGAACAGTAATTCGGTACTAGCAACAGCAGTACCGAACAGTAAAAGCAAAATTATTTCACAACGCTCTGAAAAATTTTTATCCTCCACGAAAAAAATAAATGGCCAACGCACGGGCTGCCCGTGTGAAGATGCGTTTTTGCATAGCTCCCCGCAGATTTTCGTCGCCAACAGCACTAGTTTTTTCGGCAGATGCTTCTAGCTAAAAAAATTTCAGAATGGTCGCCAGAATTGTCAGGAAACACCCCCTCAAAATTCCAGTCTTCTAGCTTCTCACGTTCTCGCGTTAGCAAATTACCCGGAAGAAACTTTCCCGGCCCCGTCCGTAGGTACCACGCTTAACCGCGGGCAGGGTTTGAACTCAGTAATACCCACTTGGACGGGGGACATCCTCCTAAGATTTCAGCGTTTTAGCTTCTCAGATACCCGATTTATGAACTTAACCGAAAAAAATTTTGGCGGGCCCGTACGCGGGTACCGGGCGGATAGTGGCGCCAATTTTGGGGATTGGGGCCCGTACGTGCGTGTAGATTAAGTCCCCAAAATTTCAGTCCTGCAACTTTATAGGTCTTGAGATGAAAAACTGGGACAGACGCACACACAAACACACGGATACACAGACAACTCCCTGTCAATACGCGTTTTTGCATTGCATAGCTGCAAAAAACGCATAAAAATGGCGAAGTATTCTTTGTTGCATGGTGTATTTTTCTAGACAATGTATTTTTCTAGACAATGAAGATACGTCAGAAGAACGGCAACAAGAAATAAGGCGTAGAACACGAAGGAGGAAAAAGTGGAGGAGTGAAGCGAAATGAACCAAGTTAATATGCAATAAGTGGCAGCCTACAAAAGGGAAAAAACAAGAAACATATTTGAAACAAACGTTTGAATTTGCATCGGACGAGAGGAAAAGCAGTGCCTTGATGATCATCCAACAACCAGAACGAGAACTCCTCGCTTTTCAGAATCGTTCGTAAAATATCGATTTCTACACCTTCTGCAAGTACTAAGCAAATGAGCGGCCATTCGGATATATCATTTTCATAACGCTTTTTTAGCTATATCATTCAGACTGTTGTCAGCATTACACGCATTTGTTTTCATGCTCAATCACAAAAGAAACAGCGGAAAATGCAATTCCGGATCGAAGGGTCTAGCAAAGCTGTGTACAGTAACACTAACAACCGACTGTTTCCAAGTGAGATTAATCTCCTTACGAAAATAGGGAAATTTCACGCCTTCTTCACCCACTGTAAACTTCTAAAACATTTGTGTTCAAAAAATCTAGTTCATTCTCCGAAATTAAACATAAATGATCATCAAGGAAGCACAAATATTACCCTTTTCCTTTTGAGTGAGAAGTGATGTGGACTTTGAGAGAGCACTTTTCTCAAGCGATTTGTTTAGTCTTTTCAGCGAGCAGGTAAGCACATTTCGTATCACATGAAGATCGCGACATGACACTCGTGCCACCATTTCACTCACCTCAATCTTAACACAGAAATTTTCAACTTAGTTCTTGCAAAGCAATTTATCTTTTAAAATGCTAAACAAATGAGCGTTTAGGAATCGAATAAAAATTTCTTCCATTTAGTTCTGTACAGGTTAACAACTGTACGAGAGCTTCCTTTGATTGCAGAGGTTTTACGCTAAAAATAGAATAAATAGCAGCGCGCACCAGACTAGCCGGTGCGATCATGCTTTTTGTGCAATTCAGCCCATCGAACGATTGCCTAT